GAAACCAAGCCTAGCCAAGGCAGGGAGAGAGCCAGCTCCAGTTCCCCTCACCTGCCAGCCTGGACTCCATGTTTTGCAGGCCTTCCTTCAACTGGGCATTGCCCGGCTCGTGTTTCAGCCCTTCCGCGTACGTCTTCTTCGCTTCCTCAAAGCGGTTCAGGAATTCCAAGGCGGCTGCTTTTCGGGAATAGCCCTGCAAAAGAGCACAAGACGGATCAGAGAAGGCCAGAGACGCATCCACAGAGAAACCAGAGCCTCCCCCCCCCCCCCCGTGGTCATTAAGCGAATCCACAGTTGTCGTGCAAAACACCGCCGTTGTTTTAAGCGTTGGGGCGTTTTGGCCAGCATCGGAAATAAATGCCGGTTTTCAGGAAAAAAAACCACTGCAGGTAGGACCGCTCTAAGTGCGGTCATGTGACCAACAGGGGTGGGGCAGCCGGAACTCCAGAAGTACAGGTAGCCCTCGACTTACGACCACAAGGGAGCACCCTTCTGCCGTTAAGTGAGACAGTGAAGTGAATGTGAATTTGACGAGCTTCCCTGTCAATCACTGCAATTGTTAAGCTAGGTCAGGGCTAGGCAACCTTGGCTCTTTTATGACTCGTGGACTTCAACGCCCAGAATTCCTCAGCCAGCATGGCTCAGCTTGAAAACCTCTCCCTTTCCCCTCAGCATGGCTGGCTCAGGAATTCTGGGAGTCGAAGTCCACGAGTCACAAAAGAGCCAAGGTTGCCTACCCCTGAGCTAGTCACGCTGAGTTGTTAAGCGAACCTGGCTTCCCCATCGTTTGTGTGCGTCAGGAGGTCGCAAAAAGGGGACCCCCCCGAGTCCCGGCGCCTGTCATAAATACGAGTCGGTGGCCCAAAGGTCCAAATTTTGATCACGTGACTTATGGGGAGGCTGCAACGGCCGCCAGTGTGAAAAAGGGTCCCATTTCCCGGTGCCGTTGTGACTTTGAATGGTCACCAAAAGAACTGTCGTAAGTCGAGGACTCGTCCTTGACCTCAGCAGCCAAGTGGAGAGGTTTCAAAAGCCACTTGGAACCCTCTTCTCACCTTGCCCCATTCCGGCTTCAGCTCGATGGTCTTGCAAGCGTCTTCCAGGGCCTTGTGGTACTCCCCCTTTTTGGCGTAAGCAGCCGAGCGGTTGCTGTACAGCACGTGGTTGGCCGAGTCCAACCGGATGGCCTCGGAGTAGTGCTTGATGGCTTCAGCGGTGTTGCCAGAGCTGAGGGCCTTGTTGCCTTTCTCCTTCAGTTCATTCACCTGGAGAGAGGAGAGCAGAGGAACGTTAAACCTGGTTAAGGGCCCCGTCTTCCAAAGGCGAAGAATGTATCAGTCAGGGGTAGGCAACCTTGGCTCTTTTATGACTCGTGGACTTCAACTCCCAGAATTCCTGAGCCAGCGTGGCTCAGCTTGGAAACCTCTCCCTTTCCCCTCAGCATGGCTGGCTCAGGAATTCTGGGAGTTGAAGTCCACAAGCCATAAAACAGCCAAGGTGTAGGCAACCAAGATGTAGGCAACCCTGGCCTAGGAAGAGAGCCAAGGAGACGGAAGGGCCGACCTGCACCCAGCTGTGAGCTTTCGATCACCACCTGCTCATGGATGCCGAAACTGCAGCCTCTGCAGCAGTGTTTGCAGCCTACAAGCCATGATGTAAATCATAGGACGAGGTCCCTGCCACATCCCAGGTTCTCCCTAGAGGAACCAGCAAGCTAGAGGTGGCTTCCTCTTGAGTCACGGCTCCGTTCAGCTAGGGACCAGCAGCTGAAATTACAGATGGCCAAGAATAACCAGCCTTTTGAGCCGTGACAAAACGTCACGGAGGCCCTCTCTGCAAGAATTCGGGTTTACCGCTGCGTTTGAGCTATGTGGGAAAAATGAGGGGTTTTTTTTTAATCAAAAAAGGGAGGAAAGGCAAGACAATACACGCTTTCGAAGATACCCATCGCCCTGGCCCATTTGGGATGGAGCAAGGCAGGAAAAAAAAAAAAAAAGCCCAAAGGCGCAGTGATGTAGTTGGACCCCAGCCAGGTTGCTATGGTATAAAAAACCCTGACACAATCACACCCACCCAACTGCCTTACAGATCTGTTCTGTTTTTCCTTCCCCCCCCCCCCCCCGCTCGTTCAGTTTCTGGCACCTTTTACTTAAAAGGCTAACTGCTTCCGCCACCGTTCATTTTCACACCCGGCCAACAATGCAATTAGGATGGTGGCAGGAAAGTTTTAATTAGTGGTGAGGGGAGGGGGCAAGCTTGACCTCAAAAGGAGATGACGTTTTGCACGCCAAAGGTCCCAGGTTCACATGTTTAGCCAACAGCTTTTTTTTCTTCAATAGAGGAATCCCCCACATTTTCAATTACCTTGGTTCACACAGGGTGCCGAGCCCAGGGTTTAATAATAGTTTACCGAATAAACCACAACTGGTTTTGTGCAATAGATCAGGGGTTCTCAACCTTGGCAATGTTAAGACTTGTGGACTTCAACTCCCAGAATTCCTCAGCCAGCTTTGCCAAGGTCGAGGATCCCTGCAATAGATGACGTCAAAAACCAGGATGCCAAAGTGACAGTGGTGTTATTTATGCCATTTAAAGGGGGATATTTGTAGGGTTGAAATTTGGGGTCCCTGGTGCTGTTTCCTTGCAGACGTTTCATGGCCCAACTAGGTGACATCATCAGGGCCTGGCTGAGGAATTCTGGCAGTTGAAGTCCACAAGTCATAAAAGGGCCAAGTTGGAAGACCCCAGGCTTAAAGGGTTTTTTTTGCTTGCGCTGTTGTTCTGGGATCAAACACTGATAAGCCTTGATCATATTACCTAGTTGGGTCACGAAACGTCTGCAAGAAAACTACCCAGCTCCTCCTCCGCTCTGCAAATCCTATTCCCTTCTAGCCCTGATGATGTTACCTAGCTGGGTCACGAAATGTCTGCAAGAAAACCACCCAACTCAAGAGAGTGCCAAAGAGCCCTCATTTACACGCCACCGTTAAACCCAAGCTGAGCTCGATTTAGCCAGATGTGCCAACCCAGCCTCTGTCAGCTGGGCGCTTAGGCAAAGGTCTCTGCACCTTCTGGAAGCAGCCCTATCCGAATAATCCAGAGAAGTGAGAGGCTGCACATGTAGTGCAGGCTTTTGCGTCCCACCTTATCCGGGATTCGGGATGCTGAACATGCTACAACGTGCAACTTAGGCTTGGCCCCTCTTTTTGGGTAAACAGCTTCCAAGAGCCGAGAGGTTGCGCTAAAGCTCCCCTCCTTCCGCCGCGCCCTCAAGACATGGTTATTTCAGCTGGCAGGACTGGCCTAAGGGGTATTTTAAATTTGGTTTTTAAATAATTTTAAAATAAAAGAAAGGCCTATATTAATATTTTATTTTAACCACATTTTAAATTTGTATATTGTATTGTTATTCTGTTTTAAACTGGCTGTAAGCCGCCCTGAGTCCA